GCCTATAAATAGACACTTTGTATATTCAAATGAATCAAAAAAAAGTATCATTGTTCTTCATATTTTTCTCTCCTACCTTGTTTTCTCACATGGTATCAGAGCTGTTGAGCTCTTTTACCTCTTTTCACTTTTTGATTTTTTGCTTCTAGTTTGCGCTGACAATATTGTGATCTACTGTTGTTTTCGTCCAGTATTGTTTCGGGTTTCTTGTTCTTGCTTCGATTGTGTCTGATGTTCCTGGCCAGCATTGTGTGTTCAGAATTGCTTTTTGGCAGCTAGCTGTTACTGTCCAGATCTACATCAGTCTCTTTTGATTCGGTTAGATTTCTTTACATAATATCTTTATTTTTTCATGGAGAAATATGATATTTCACACCCAATTTCAACTACTCTCAATGGCTCAAATTACATACTTTGGGCTCAAAGTATGCGTAGTTCTTTAAAGGTTCGAAAATTATGGTGGTATATTATTGGTGACATTACACTTCCACAGAAGGTTGCTGATGAGATAGATAAGAAGTATGTGGACCGTCTGGAGGACTAGGACAACAAAAATCATCAGATCATCACTTGGTTTCGTAACACCTCAATTCCTTCCATTCACCTTCAGTTTGGACGGTATGAAACAGTTAAGGAAGTGTGGGATTTGCTTGCAGAAAGGTTTACCACTTTTGATTTATCTAGTCAATATCAATTGTGGGAAGAGTTACACAATTTGAAACAAGAACAAGGAGAGTCCATTACTAGTTTGAATGCTAAGATGGAGGCTATTTGGGATTAGCTTGCTCTCTTAGAATCAACTTTCAACGACATTGCTGATATTGGGAAGTACATTGAGTATTGTGACAAAATGAGGTTAATTCAATTTCTTATGACACTTACTGTTGATTTTGAACCATGCAGAGCCTCTCTGTTGCATCAGTCTCCTTTACCTACCTTGGATAGTGCTCTCTCACGATTATTATCTGATGAAACTCATCTGGGCTTACTTAAGCCTCAATGAGATAATATTGTGGCTGCAGCTATTAATAAGTTTCTTTCAAGTAAGAGTGGATAAAAGCATTGTCGTCACTGCAACAAATACGGACATGCTATCTATGAATGCAGTATGGTAGAATGTCATAAATACAAGCAGAAAGGCCATATTGCTCCTAATTGTACTACTCCATTACCTTAAAGATCTAATCTATGGAAGACCCAATCAAAGCCTGATCAGTCTTCCAAGCCTGTGGTTGCTGCAGCTATTGCTAATCAGGATACCTCAGTCCATCCTTCGATTGGTAATCTAGAAACTCTTTTTAGACAAATGATATCATCTTCCTCTACATCTACTGCCATGCTTACCATCCTAGGTAAAGTTTCTTGGATTTTTTACTCTGGTTGTTATAACCATATGACTCCAAACTCTAAACTTTTTTCTACATTAACCCCTAATACCACTGCACCTGCAATCCATACTGTTGATGGTTCACAAATGCAAGTTAGCCAATATGGTCAAGTTTCTACTTTTACCTTTACCTTACCAAACACTTTCCTAATACCAAAACTTACTTTTAATCTTATTTCTCTGGGACAACTGTGTGAACTTGGTCTTGAACTAATATTTTCTACTTCTGGTTGTCGTGTGCAGGATCCACAGACGGGATAGATTCTTGGGACAGGTCGTAAAGTTGGACGTTTGTTTGAGCTCACCTCCTTGCACATCCCTTCTAGTTACATTTCGCAGTTGTGTGCAATCTCAACATCTTCCTTTTTACACTTGTGGCATCTTTGTCTTGGTCATGCCTCTATTAGTAAACTTCATCCTTTAATTCAAAATGGGTCTTTAGGTTTTGTTAAAGAAGAGTATTTGCATTGCGTCTCATGTCAAGTTGCTAAATAGCCTGCTTTATCTTTTAATAAAAGTGATTCCATTTCACTTGGACCTTTTGATTTAGTACATTCTGACATATGAGGGCCATCTCCCACTCCTACCATGGGTGGTTCAAAATATTTTGTGTTATTTGTTGATGATTATTCTTGCTTCACTTGGTTATATTTGATGAAGAAACGCTTAGAATTACCTCAAATTTACTTTGAGTTTGCTAATATGATAAAAACTCAATTCTCTAAAACTATCAAAGTCTTGAGGACTAATAATGCTCTTAAATATCTTGATTCTAAATTTCAGTCTTTTCTTAAAGAGCATGGCATAATACAACAAAGATCTTGTCCATATACCTTTCAACAGAATGGGCCGGTTGAGCGTAAACATCGTCATATTTTGGACTTAATTCATGCTTTCCTGATTTCCTCTTCATGTCTTAAGCGTTTTTGGGGTGAAGCTGCACTTAGGGCCTGTTTGGTACAACAGTTAAAATTTAGTGGATAACGGATAGCGGACAGTGGATAGCGGACAGTGGATAACGGTAGTGGGTAGCGGTTTGCGGATAGCGGATGGCGGATAGTGGAAAGCGGATGGCGGATAGCGGAAAGTGGGTAGCGGATGGTAAATAGTGGATTCGATAAATATAACTGTTTGACTATACAATAGTTAGCAGTTGTTGTTTAACATTAAATGACTAATAAAGATATGTTTAAAAACAAATAAGT